TTTCCCTTCTCTTCTCTGCTATTTGTAAGGCCTCGTTGGACAGCCACTTTGCTTTCTTGCACTTCCTTTTCTTTGGGATGGTTTTTGTTGCTGCCTCCTGTACAACGTTACGAGCCTCCATCCATAGTTCTTTCAGTACTCTGTCCACCAAATCTAGTTCCTTAAATCTGTTCTTCACTCCCACTGTGTAGTTATTGGTGCCCAAATTTGGGTTTCCAGATTGTTTGAGTCCATCATGTTGAGTCTCCATAACGCTGGAATTCTGGAGACAAGAGAAGGTGGGCTAAAGATTGGGGATTATGACAGCCATACTCCAAGCACATCTAGGGGGTTAAGATTTGGAACCATCATTCTAGAAGAAGCCCAGCTAATATGGGCTTTCTGTGTGGCTCAAGTAAGAAAGGAGAGACAGAACAAAGACCTTCCTCTCCCCCCCCCACCTCCCTAAAATACAAATTAAAGACATTTGGAGCCTCATGGTACTGTGGCTAAATTGCAGTATGGCAGCCAATGCCTCTGCTCACAACCTGAGTTCAATCCCAGTGGACTCAGGTAGCTGGCTGATTGATTGGTAAATTGAATACCCAGCTTGTTCGGGGTGGCAGTGGTGGCAATAGGTGACCTGCATAACAAAACAGTAAACCACCCAGAGAGTGCTTTAAATTCAATGGGGCAGCACACTTTGTTTCAATTAGCGAACTACTATATTTTTAAAGTTTCTGCTTTGGGGGGGTCTCTTTGCTGCCCTTCAGCACAACGAAGACATAGGCCAAGATACAGTAGTGTGTTTTTGGTATCCAACACCAACAGAACAGGACTTTCTTCCCCTTCCCCTTCTGCTTGTGCCAAAAAAAGCCTGCTCCAGGGGGCTTCCCAGACCATCCTAGCACATTTTTGCGGTGTATGGTGGTTGCAGGGAGAAAAAGTGTTGTCGATTCTGGTCATACAACCAGAGTCAGACTATTCATGAAGATAAAGAGATGGGCCTCTGCAAATGGGACTGATTTCATTAATAATGTTTTCCCTGTAATTTAGGTAAACAAATTAAACAGACTGCAGACTGAGACAAAGTTCCAGAGGATGGAGACAAAATCATCCTTCTGTCTCAGATGAGGTCAAACTGAGGTACCGCTATCATCCAGATTTTACTGCATGCTATTTTGACATTATTGCCTTATTTCCTGATTTGCCCCAACCTACAAAAACGTGGTCATTCACTTTAATTGATCAAAAGCAGGAACAAAATTAAGGATAGAAGTACACATTATAAGGCAAACACCGGGAGCCTGGATCATAAGATTTGAAAAGTTAACAGAAAGAAAGGTCCCCATCTATCCTTCCCTCTGCCACTACTAGAACCGTATCCATGTTTTCTGGTAGGTCAGGATCCCAACCCTTGAATATTGTGTGGTATTAAGGCCTGGACAAGTTCCAGTACCTTCCACCTCTTAATTTCCTTTCATAAGCATTACCTGAACTGTTGCCTCAGTAAGTAAATGTTGGGACAAAATAAGTTTGTTGTGGCAACACATAGTTCTTCTATAGGAAAAAAAGCTGTAGAGGAGACCATTTCTAGCTAGATTTTTCCTCCACTACAAAGTACATACTAACACTTCCCTTTTTAGAAGCTGAAAATGAACCTTTCTAAAATCTAATTATAGCACACAAATAGGTTCAAGGAGCTGTTTCTAGAATTTTAAAAGAAATGTTTAAGACTTCAATCCCACAAACAATTACTGGGGAATAGGTTAAGCACAGTGGGACCTTCTTCTGAGTAAATGTGAAAGGAATGAATTGTAAGAGACCTAAACATCTGGTGCAGACCCTGAGGAATCTGAAATATTTTCTCAGCTCTGCTTGCTGAAAAAGGTAAAGCAAAATCTGCCACATTGTGATAACAATGAACTCCAACACAGCTGTCTTCCCCAGCTGGGGTAATAAAACATGACTGAACTGATCCAATATGGGCAGAGAAGGTTATACTAGGAAATTTCTTGTGCCACAGATTTTTTTTTGATCACCTAGAAATCTGATGCCTGAAAGTTTGTAGAAGGATGAATGGGGCCGGGGTGGGACAGGTAGAACATAAGCCCCACCACCAAGTTACTCAGACCTGTGTGCAATTAGGCCAAGGGCCTGAAGCCTAATTTGGGTTCCCAGTCATGGGACCTCTGTTAGCATATCCAGTGAAATGCAATCACAGGCTTTTCTTTGGACTTTTTGGGCCAAATGTGTGAAGCTCTGTCTGACTTCTCGGTGTGGTGACTGGGCTTCTATGTCTCCTCATAGCCTTATTATTCAACCGGCTCTCTCCATAATTTCAGACATGATGCTTGACTAGCACTTGAGTTCTTCACATGCAGGAGAGCAATAAAGA